ATCGCTCATTCAACACTAATAGGTTTGCCTGGTCAACCAATTGGTCCGAAAGGAAATTCATCTTCTGGCTTGTTTTCTCAACCGCCTAGTTCTTCGAGCACTTCTACGTTGTCCAGTGCTTGCGTTAAATCATCCAAGCCATCTAGCTCAATTGATGTTATTGGTGCCGGAACTACTTCTAGTGGAGTTGGCGGAGGGTCTTGTTCTGTGATCTCTACTGCCTCCTCTGCAACTTCATTGAACTCCGGCTCAGGCCCCCCAGCTGGTCTGTCCTCGTCTCCTGCTGGCAGCTCTGGGGTCTCTGCTTCTTCAAGTATTCCTTCTAGCCTTAAGGGTTTCAAAATACCAAAGAAGAAGAACCTTGCTAGTGGCTTAACTCCATCCTCAACCCATGGACCCTCTACAGATACCACTGAAGTTATTTCTCCTGTTTCTGGCCGGGCTTTGGCCGGGACTAGCTCCTCTTCGGCTAATTCCTCTTCCGGTGGATTATTGACCTGGCAGGCGACTACTGGTTCGGTTCCCAGTGCTTCTGGAGGAGTTAACACCTCTACAGTCGTCGGACCAACCAGACGTCGAGCTGGATGTGATGATCAATCAACGCCATCCAACGTCAAGGTAGCAGCTTCATCATCTGGACAGCAACAGCAACAACTGGGTTCATTTGTGCCTGCTTCGAATTCGAACATTTCTGGCGGTCCTGGGGGAAATCTTAGTTCTGTTAGCTCTGTAAGCCGGACAGGTGGACAGGTTTCTGGACGGGGCCTGGCGGGCAATGCAGCTGTTATGGTTTCCCCCAACTCTTGTACCACCTCTTCTGCCCCAGCGGCCACAATGTCAATCACTGTGCAACCAGCTGGTTTAGGAGTGACTCTGGTTCCCGAAGCGCCTAACTGTATACCTTCACTTCTGAGTCAAAATGTTACCCTCGGTTTTTCTGCTACCGTGAATTCTAGTCCTACTCATTCGCGTACAATTGGCTCAGTTCCTCTCACTTCTTCAGGCGCGTTCTTCTCTCCTTCAATTGCCACCGCAACCACGTCTGCTACTTCTAATTCATCTTTCTTTCAGCAGCAACAACAGCAGCCTCAAGTTCAATCCCGCAGGTGTTCTATGAAGAGTATTAGCGATGTAGTAAACAAGCTCCGCGCCAAAAACAATTCAGGTGGTAGCAATGGCAGTGCGTCTTCCGCCTCTGGAGAATCTGCGATTGGCGGTCGCTGGGCCAATTCCTTGGGACCTGGCGGTCTATGCGCTTCGTCCTCCTCTTCATCCTCCTCTTCATCACCTCTGACAACTCCATCTGGTCTTGCCTCTTCAGCTACAGGTGCTGGCTCAAATTCCGTACAATCTGATTTTAGCGAGTCCAAGTGTTCTTCAGATAGAATCGGGGTCTCCACTGAAGGTTTGTCAACAGTAGAAAATATCGGAGGACCGAAGCTGGCAACCAGCATTGCACCATCACGAGATAACATCTTTGACAAATTTCGCACGGAGTAGGCTTTCTTTTTTTTAATGTATATGTTTTCCCCCTATATTGACTTTGTCGATCCCCTGATAATCACTTAAAAACTTTTTATGAATCAAAACTATATTCACTATAAAAGTTGATTGACCTTGCTTTCCCAACTTTGTCATATTGGTAGGAAGAATTAGAGGAGCGCATCTAGTCCGGAGTCTATTGTATGCATGATAATTTCCGAAGTCAGACCGTGGACGTGGCACATTCCCAGACGTTTTTCTGGCATCT